AACCTCAGTCCTCATTTTTCATTAAGCTTTCATGACAATACTTTTTTTTTTTTACAAAACTTGATCAAAATCAAATCCCAAACAAGATTTTATGATCCTCAGATCCAAACATCTTTATCAGTTAAAATAAAAAAAACGTCCACAATATGCACATAACCCAACAAACCTTCCATGCCTCACAACATTAATCCAATCACAGTTAATCTATGCTTAATAAAAAATACAAATAACTGTTGGGAACTGGTGTCAGATAATTACAATGAAAAAACTTCATCAAATATATACTTCATAAGGTAGATTTTACAGTAAAAAGATCATGTCAAATTTTATCTAATTCATATTACAACTGGAGTGTTATGATCGTCAGCAGTGATTATCATATTTACAATTTATCACCCCTCCAAAAAAAAAAATAAAAAAATAAAAAAAAATAATAATAATAGTAAATAAATTTTTAAAAAATATAAAAATTTTCAAAATAACCCTTCATCCCAGAAGATTTCACTCCAAAAAACTAATTAGCCCAAATCTATTATAATAACCAGAGTAATTGTTAATCTTACATATATGTAAGTATTAACAAATTATCTCTACACATTTTAGACAAAACCATCGATGAGTTTTGAAAAAAAAAAAATTCTTTTCCCATCACCTGCATTATAGTATTTTTACCTAAATATTGCCAAAACTTCAAACCAACTGATATCGTAAAAGGTCTTGTTCTTTAAAAAAAAAAAAAAAAATTTAAAATACTAAATAATAATAATAATAATAATAATAATAATAATAATAATAATAATAATAATAATAATAATAATAATAATAATAATAATAATAATAATATTAAAAATAATATTATTATTATTATAATTATTAAAAATAAATTGCTAACATTTTTTGGCTCTTATTAAATATAACTGTTCCAAAGAAGTTTGCAAAAAACACATGAATATACACAATGGCTGAACAGTTATGTTATATTATTGTATTTCTTTTCCAAAACAAAGCCTCAATATACTGTGCATACAGCAGATGCCTAACTTCAGTATACAGCATGTGGATTGTTCATACATGGTAAAAAAAAGTAAGGGCCATTATTCTGATTTGTTTGGGTGATGTCAACTGCTGTATAGTATTTCCACGATAACCTGGCCCATAAGCCACGCCCCTTTTCTATAAAAATAGCCGATTGGTTCATAGAAAATGTTCGTGTAGCTGTCCATTTATTCAAACTAAATGTGTTCACAATTGGTAAGCAGACCTGTTATTCTCTAAAATAATGTTAAATATCTGGAACATCAAAATGAAAATAATTTCAAGGCATTAGCACTTAAGAGAGAATGTTAAATATTTATCATAAAAGGTCAAAGTCAAAGATGAAATTTGCTTTTGAATGAAGTCTGTTAATTATTTCTTTGTTTTGTACCAAACAGATACAGATAATACCAAAAATATAGCACTATAGGTAATGAACTACAGTTTGTATGGCTTTATATATATCCCAAATAATTAATTTATATAACTTATAAAACTCGAAATAAAATTGCACAGTCCTGGGGGAGGCAATGTGACACAGAATTATCTGTTTTGAGTTTTTAACTTTTATCCCATCAATATCAGAATGGAGCCTTGACAGAAAAATTATTAAAATGAAACAAGTAAATCACCTTTCAAATTTTACAAAAAATACAGAAAAAACAAAAAAAAAAGCACTCAACTGTGTATCACTAAAGACAACAGATTGTATAAAATAACAAGAACGACAAGGTACCAACACGAGTAAAAAAACATTCTTCATAGAGATTATTGTGTTCCATTACACATGTTAGAACTTTAAAATACTGATATCTTAAGAGAAATGAAAATAACATAACATACCTTTTTACCAACCTTAAGCCGGATAAGTTGTTTCATAAAAGAATGACATTTAAATTATTCTGCAAGATCTGCTTGGCAATTAAGCATGCAGAACAATAAAACTATTATTCTTACTCATTTTCTTATTCACATATCTATCTCCAAATTCACTGCTGGCTTGTGTTTCACTTTCCCCTCATCTAACCAAATATTTTTTAAATTGCTACCTCTAAAGGTCTCACACAGTAAAGTATATTTACTTAATTTCACTCCTCATTATAAAAAAAGAAAAGTTAAGATGCATTGCTCTTTTGACTGATGTTAAACCAATTTTGTTCATGGTTAAACGTTTAAATATTTTTGTTTTCCATTTGCACGCTGAACACAGGCAACAAGGGTAACTAAATGGATATAAAACCTCAGCGGGATACAAATGCAATATTTATATCTGTCTTCTGGTTCATCCTTCAGAAACCATGTCTCAAAACCTGGTGTTCTGGGTATTCAAAAGTATGGCTAACATGGTCCTGATCATCAAGAGGCACAGCATGATGACAGGGGGATTAATTTACAGGGCACATATTAGGGTTACCACATTACTGGATTAGCATATGACACTTACCAAAGGGGGCTAACAATCATGCATCTTCATTCCCTGAAGTAGTAGGTGCCCTTTTGTATTCCCTATTAAAACTTCTGATTTAAACTTTAATGGCCATGATGGGTCACATTATTCTATAATTATAAGCTTCATACATTTTAAGGGCAACTACCATGAAGCCGAGTTAAATAACTGGGATGTTAGAGACATTCCACAAAGTTTGGGATTTTACAGCTTTAGAAAGTCAAATAATAAAATAAAATAAAATAAAGAAAACCAAGGAGCTTTATCACAGTAGTTTCTAACTGACTGGCCAAGACAGTCAGTCATTTACATCACTTAACATACACCCGTATAAAACTTCCAAGTATCAAATGAAATCAAGAGGAATTAAAGCAATTTAGCTGCTTCAAGTTAAAATTATCTAATAATCTGATACCCTAACAATATATCAAGAGAACTGACTTTACCTAATACCTTTCATTAACTTAGTTTAAAACCTCAATGGCTGCAGACAGACTAGCTCATCACACGGTGCATTTCCAATTTATGAGTGAAAGTTTAGGTGTAACATATAATAAGGTGTATTGACAAGAAGATGACCCAATACTGTACACTACTACCCAATAATTAGTAGTATCATGGACAACTCCTTGCTCATAAAATTAAGTATATATATATTATAAGGAACATTTTCCACAGGGATAGGTAGTTTACATACCGAGTCTAAATGAGCTGTAACAATAAACCCATATACAGGTGAGTCTGCTAAAGTTAAATTACTGAATGTGAGTAATGTTTGTATGTTAGTCGATATACATTACAGTACTGTATAAAATATATCTACGCCTAGTGAATGCAAGTACAAAAATAAATTCAGGAAAGGCTATTTCTCCTGTCTGATTTGATCCTAGGTTAACAATCTCCCTATCTCCTTAGATAATAAGGTTCAATTACTCAATCAAAAGTATGATTTTATTTTTAATCATTCTTGTAAGGTTTCTTCTGCTACACTGCAGGATACCCTGAATCATGAGCAAAACAAGGTTCTCCATTCACTGACTGTAAATACTGTTACCTCCTCACAAACCACTTGATGCCAGGATTCCCTACCAATCATATGCTTTGTTGTTTCTAGAATATCCATAACCCTCACTTCTGGTACTTTCTTGCAAACCTTCTCGATCTTCCTCTCTTTCTTTTACCAAAAAGTATGCCTCTGAATTATACACTCTTTATACCAATTTTTCTTAATTCCACTCTCTCAACATGTTTTTATCACCTTTGCAAACCCTTGTCTAGTTTCTGTGTCCACCCCTTCTTTCATACCTATATCTCTATCTAATTTCTGCATTCCTCATTCTCTGATCTCTATTCACCCAACACAATTCACTACCAGAAAGCATTGTCATCTAAACAGTTCCTTTACACATTCCCAACTCTGCTTCCTTCAAACATATCTCTCTCCATACAATCTTGATGCAACTATTGTTCTCCCTCAGCTACTCTATAATCAATTTTATCGCCCAATGTAGCTGATACATCCATTCCCAAATATATGAAAAAACCTTACTTCATCCAACTCACAATGGCTTAACACCTCCGATTCTGAAACAGTCTATCGTCTGGTTAACCGAATTGTTGTCATGTCACCCATTGTGACTTACTGTACATGATGCAGCTGCATCGTCAATTATCATTACCCGCATATTTATTCCAATAGTATGATATAGTATATTATTCCAGTATACAGCAAATACATGTAAATAAAAATTTTCCTTATGCAATGGCACATTTGGTCATGCTCTACATTTGACAAAAAAGATGGCAAGGAGAGTATGACTGGATGCAATAAAGTTTTATTGGTTTATACCAATATTACCTAAAACCACATTAAAAATATGAGCATTCACAGAATGAGGACACATGACAGTATGACGGCTAGTCACACAGTCAACGTCTAGCAGCTAATAGGTTGGAGCTAATGATGTTCTATTTAGTGATCTGTATTAAAACTTTAACCATGCAATAAAAACTTGCATTCAGAGACAGTGGTGGAATGCTTATTTAGCATCCTTAGTTTAGCTATTATTGTGTGGGTCCTTAGTGCCATTCTGGAAGTTTTACTATAATGCAAATAAATACAGAGCACCAACCACTGTAACAGATAGAACTGTGCTCGATTGTCCATCCTTAAATCAAACTTCTCTCGGTACACATTATGATGCATTTTTCCAAAAATTTCACCCACTACCTTTCATCCACACTTGCATTTAAATTCCCTATCATTGTCATAATGTTCCTTTGGCAGAGAATCTTTCCATACAATTACATACATTCAAGTCTTCCCCAAATCTCTCTCATTCTTCCTCTCTTTTTTTTCCTCCCAAGTCATAAAATACTTGGACAGACTTACAAAATAAAAATAAAAATTGTATTCCCAGTAAAAAAATCTTTGGTATTAGAAATAGACTCCTTGGTTTTCAAGTACCTATAATACTACTAATAAAGAAAAATAAAGTCAAATATCTTTTATACTCACTGTACTAGTCTGTGGAGCTAAGGTATGCTTGCTCAAAACAACTTTGGTAGTTTTAGTTTCTGCTGAGGTCTTTCGGTCAAGCGGTGAAGAAGGAAGTATAGCAGAATTCTGGGAAGGTGGGTGAGACGTCAGTTGTTCTGCTGCTCTGACCACATCCATTACCTGTAAATATAGAAATGATCATTAACACTGGAAAAAATATTCTAGCAATAACTTAATTTATTCAAAATAATTAAAATTATCTATGACAGGATATAACATCAAATAAAAATTAGCTAAAAATAAATACACTTCTTAATTGAAATTAATGCTCCTTATTTACAATCAACAGTAAAATAAAAGAAATTTCTTTGTTATTACAATATTCTAGTTAAATAACTTTAAAGTCACACAATAACTACTCGTATAAATAAAAGGGTGCAAATTACAAGCAAATATCCAAAAGTACTTCTAAGCATGCAAACTACTGAAAAACTTTTAAATTAATACTATCAGATTTAAAGATGGAATACTGACTGCATAAAAAAAAATGGTAGTAATTTTATGAATTATTGTATGTATTATTTCACTCTGTAAAGAAGCATTCAGTATTTACAGGCCAATACAAAGTAGCCATGTTCGTGGCTAGCAAAAAGAAATGCGTACAATTTCGGGTGCAGATTTATCCTTAGGTGTGTCTGATATAACAGGAGCAGAGAGGTGCGGGGGAAGAGGAATGTCACAACCCACGTCATCATCGGTGTCAGGGGTGTCACTCCTGAGGTTGGTGGTAAAATCTTGTTTGGGCTCAGGTGTAAGAAGCCTATCACAAGGCTGAGACTTAGATACTGGCAGAGGTGGTGAAGGTTGGGGTGGTGGATGCTGGGACAATGATGGTAGGGGAGACTGTGGTTGTGGTGACTGGGCAGGTGTTGGCAGCTTTATAGAGGCTTCAGATGGTGCTTCTTCATGCAGTGGGGACTTATCATCCTGCTGTGTAAGGGAGTTAAAGTTCATCAACTGTCACCATTATGTAATTTTTCTGTGCATAGAGGACAACTGAAATTACTTGCTTTAATAATTTATATCAATGTTAAATTATAAATAGCCACTGAGATTAGCTGAAAAGTACATTCTGAATGAGTCCCTTGCTCAAATGACAAATATTATGACCCTTCTGGTGACAGGTGATGTCTGGGGAGAAGTTTGTACTCTCCACATACCTTAATTAAACTACACAACTACAGGTACTTTTAAACTTCATTTGACAAACAAAAGGAAAACAGTAAATATCAGGGAATGTGGTAACCAGAAACTCTTAAAGAGTTTATTCAAACAAAATCTTAATTAAGAGTGAATACAATAAGTATAAACTCCTAATCATCATTATCAACTCTACAGTTGTGTAAATCAAAGTTGAAATAAAGAATGCGAAAAAATAAGGTAACTTAACCCTTAAGCCCCGGGTTAGGGTGCTGCTGGCAGTACCCTCCCCCCGCGGGGATAAATCGAGAAAAAATCCCCCAAAAGGCTGGAAAATAGGTGGAAGTTCTGTAACGTCACCCGGAACGCGCTAGTCAGACGTTCTGGAACGTCACCCGGGGCCTAAGGGTTAATGTTGCTTGTTCTTACTGTATTCAATTCATAAACATGAAAAAAATTATTATGCACAATAACATCATTAGTAATACAGTATCTCTAATACATGCGTATGTAAATATTTCATTTTACTTTAGCAAGACCCAGAGTGAAAAAATCAGAAATACTGTACATGGACTCTCCCACATTCAGTCATTTGTACTTTCCAGCTGCTTTCTCTCAATAAAACTTTTCCAAACTAAATTCAATAGCATTGTTTGTTTTTTCTTTGCACTGCTTAGTTAGGACAATACAGTATACTGTAGTATATAAACAGCAGCTAGTTCACCTCCCATCTACATCCTATATTCCTACTTACCAAACTTGCACCTCTTTCCAGTGATTGTTTTCACCTCTTTTCCTAACTCATCCAGGAAAATACTGAACAATCACGGAAAATTATATGTCCATGATGGAGAACTACTTTAACTAATAAACCAGTTTACTTCTTCCCAACAAACTCTCACACATACTTCACTCTTTAAAAAAATTAAAAACTCAGTGATATTCAAAATTTTCCCATTTATCCCAGACATTTTTAATGCTTGTATTTTATCTTCTTTTTTCTATAAACAGTAGTACCTCAATACACCAGAATAATTGGGGCAGACACCAGTCCAGAAAATGCAAATGATCAAAAACAGCAAATCTTGTTTATTTATTTTGGAGGAGAGATAACACTGCTTATCTGGACGGATTAAAGAAAATAATTTGTTGTTATAATGTTATTACTGTGCTTCAACAACTAAAGTCTGTAAGTGCAATAACAAGGTCAGTAAAACACTATTATATCAACAATAAAAAAAAAATGAGACAGAACTCTCTGGGTTGAAAATCAGAATTAAGTGGTTGTCTAAAATATGCTTTCACTGAGATGATTGCTACATACTGTAAAGTGTTTTATGTAAGTAACGATAGAATTTGCCTTATGAATAAAGAGAAAACGGTATACTGTATAGCACTATAAAGATAAAAATAACAAATAAAAGTGTAGGGGTATAGTGTGTGTGAGAGACGAGTGTGTATCTGGGAGCAGCAAGAAAAAAGGGTGAGTAGCAGCACAGATGGGTGGCTCCCTTCCCTTCTCTCCCCTAAGATCCCTTTAACACATCTTTATGCGATTTCACCACAATCCTTGTATTATTTAGGTTCATTTTGGTGCCAAATTGTTAAAAAAAAAACAAGTCGTTTGTTTACAAAGGGCAAACAGCTGATTGGCCTAGCTCTGTCACCACTCATGCTTACCTCAACACCTGTCTTCAGCACTTAGTAAATTAGTAATATAGTCTACAGTATTTATCATCGCTTAATAAATATTATTGTTGTGTATTTATTAGCACTTAATAAATAATATTGAACTGTAGTGTATGAGGGATCTGCCTATTACATTGTTTATTCATTAATCAGTTGTCTAAGTGTACAAGTACCGGTATCCAAAATGAACCAGCATGTATCACTCAAAAGTAATAAAAAATGTTGTTAGGGAAGTAACTCCATATCAAATACCATACAGTATGTTATAGTGACCTTGTTGAAAGCTCTCACATGAACGCTATAATGAGTGAATACCTTCCAATACAGCTTCTATTTTTATTTTCAAGTCAAATTACAAATTATACATTGTATTTTTTCTATCATTGAAGATGTTATCTTACTCGTGATGAATCATACACCATAAGAGGGTGATCACATGAGAATATAATAATGAATTAATAAATAAACCTGACAAATGCGGTACTGCCTCATCAGCTGCAAACACCAGCCTGCTTAAATATGCAGTGTCTTGGCTTTTGTTTGGTTAGGCCTACAGCAAATCTGATTAGACCACTGTATAGCATTCAGAGAGCAAGTGTTGTTCTTTTCATAAGTTTTTTATTTTAACCATTTCTTAAAAATACATACAGTACTCTACATTATTTTAACAAATTTCTTACAACCCTAAAGTATCCGTTAAGGTATTTTGTACTTTACATAAAAAGTTCATGTAAATGAGTGCAGCACACTGATACGATACGTACGACGGCAAGACTCAGAATGACACACATACGACACCCACGCAAAGATGTTCAGTCAAATGTATGAACACACAAACTGTCTGGACTGATGCTGGATTTTCCAGAATTTTAAAAATATTTCAGAAAGTAAAAAAGAAGCAAATTCCAATGTATAGAGGTTCTATAGTATATGAATGTTATAAGCAAATTCTTTCTTAATTTCACTACTCCTACGTTCTTTCATCACTCGTCACCTGCAACTGGCACTGATTATTGTACTAAAGCTAAAGATATCTTTGCCTTCCATGAATACAAAATAAGGCTAATTAAGATAATTGGTATGGTAAATGATTCAAATATTATCTGAATCTATCTTTGATGATTAAACACTCTGTGTCCATGTCATACAATAACAGCAAAAGTCTTACAAATGCTGAGCCAAAGGAAACAGAGAACCAATTTGGCAAAGTACAAGTTGGAAAAGATCCAACTCTGACAAGGAGGATGAGACTTTATAGCAATACTACTTTCCAAGTTCTTTCTTTAACACTGCAAAATCTTTCATACAGTGTCTATGCTCAGGGCAATATGTCTATGTACTGCACTGTATTCATAAGCATTTTCATAAAATAACCCCTAGGAGAAAAAGAGATAAATTATATCAGACACTTCACCACCAAAAATAAGCTATTAAGTGAAATCCAATGAAAAATCACTGAAAAGCTTACTGCCTTGGTACAATACACATTAGCTTCAGTAAACTCATTTTCCAATGGTCTATGAATATATTAATTACCTATTGTTTCTTTTTCCCATTTCTCATTAAAAGAAATTTGCAAAATGAACCTAAGGCAAAGGCAGCAAGCTTATGTCTTAATCAATGTAATAATGAACTTGGATATTACATTAATCAAGTTTTTCCAGTATCCTTCCATAACATGCTCTCCATGCTACATGCATACTAGTATTCTTATGATGCATTTGGTACAAGACTGGAAGCTGTATAGTCTACCAAGGTACAGCATACTTATTCAAAATCATACTTTAGTGTGATATATTAAATTCTTATTTGGTGTTAAAACCCAAAGAATACAATTTACACTTCAAAATACTGGAAACTGCTGTAAGAAATGAGTATCTTTTGATGTTATGGGTATTTGGACATGTGAAAATACCAGCAGCTTATAGTCATAAAATATGACATTTTCCTCTGGCTCAGATTTGGATTACTGCTTCCCTATGTATTTCAACTACTTTTGCACATAATGATTAAGAAAGCTTTTAGGTATTACAGCAAAGTCTACAACACAAGGGAGTATTGAGCAATACAAAGACTTCTATTTGGAGAGGATTCTACTTCTCTGTCTAATTGGTTACTACTGATGACTTACATAATAAACTACGGAGCAAGAAGTAAAAATGAATGTGGAGAAATATCTTCTATCTGTAAAAAAAAGAAAAAAGACTCCTACTAATTACCATCTTAAAACTGAAATTGGCCAAGATACACAAAATAGCCTACACTAAAAAATTTTTTTAATTTTAATTACTTGTGTTTGGTTGGTATCACGATCTTCTCTGTCAAGAGAAGTGACACTTTGACTGGTGCTACGAGACTCATGGCCCAAACGTCCCTCATTCTTCATCTGTTGTACCTGAAAATTTAATCTAAACTTTTTAAAATTCAGGAATGACATAATGAAAGTTATATAATTAATTCATCAATAGCAGGCCAAACATTTGACAGCCACACAATTTTTTTTTTATACAAAAACCTTCAAAATTCCATATATATAGGCTGCATTTCCCAAATAGATTATTAACAATCCTTAACAACAATATTTTCTTCCAAGATTTACCAGCTGTCTACCTCTATGCTGTAAGGTGGTAGGAACCAAGAGCAACACTAACTCTCTCTATTTGCTGTCACCCATTCACTCTTACTGCTGTACAGCACCATCCCCATAATGTTCTATGCTGCTTACACTATGTTCATCCCCCTCGCTTGTAATGCATCTTTATCTATATCTTGCCACCCCCTTGGTTCTTTCTCTCCTCTTATATACTCTTTCACCAATCTTTTACTTTTCATTCTCTCAGTACTGTACTGTACATCCATAATACCTCAGAAAACCTTGGTCAGGTCTGTCTGACACATTGTTAAATTCCATTTCTCCTAATTTTATTATTTCTTATGCTCTGCATTCTATATACCCCAAATATAGTTGTGAAGTACTGTACACCATTGCCAGGGGTCAGATCCAGGAATATCAAAAGGGGGGATGTCCAAGTTGTGAGTGGGGGAACAAGGCAAGCACAGCGAGCCCACCCAGCCTCTTTTTCTGTGTATGTGCGTGTGTCCAATATCATGGGCATTTTGAGGCCGTTTTGAAGCCACGTGCGCTTGATATTAGAAGATATTCTGAAGTCAATAGTAATCACTTTTTAATTTACAAAAATGCCTGAGTACAATACTGCATTGAAGAAAAAGTATTGGAATTTTCTGATGAAAAAAAGGAGGGGTTCAAACCCCAAGGACCCCCTTATTGGATCTGCCCCTGATTGCTGTTGTGTCTAGTTTACTTCTTCCTCTTGTATCATATGTTTCTGCAACAATTCATAGTAATGTTTCTACCATAGATTTTCCTTAGCACAATTAAAAGACTTACTCATCTAGTCTTAGCATTCCCTCTTAATGTCTTTACCTTTACATACAGAAACTACACACAATTTCCACCATTCCTTTGACACACTTCCCTCCATTATACATAACCATTACACTCATCATCAATATCACCTTTTCACCAACATTTGCTAACATATTTTTGAGGGATTCCATCCACATCAGGCATCTTACCACTCTTTAAATGGCTTACAGTATGTTTCATCTTTTCTCCACTGACCTTTCTTTATTTCTCTTTAAACTTTACACTTTTCATACCTCCCAATTCCAAACGCAAACACTCTTGATAATCTCACATCTGTTAAATCCACCAATTATTAAAATTAATCTCGACATTTCCATTTCAGTTCCTTTTTCCCCCCACACTTATTTTCAAATATTATTTCCTTGTGTCCTTTCAGCTTTCACCCTCTTTGCTTCTTCCCAATGCAATCTTATATTTTTATCTAAAAAACTGTGTTAACCTCACCTTTCATCTGATCATCTTTTACACTCTTTCATCACTTTATCTTCTTTACAAGTCCAAGTACAGTATTCCTCCTTACTTTCCTCACTTCAAACTTGCAGTTAAAGTTTTTATGTCATTCTTTTCTTTCTAACTAGCCCCACTAATCGTTTTCTAATTCTCATCCCAATTTCTTATATTCACTCTCCTCGGATGCACTTTCTACATTTTTAAACTAATACTACTTCTTCAATATCTCCCAGTTTTTCTCATTTATGTTTAGCTATTTTCACTCAATCAATTCTTCATGTTGTACCACTAGATTTAAGGTCTTCAATTCCCAAACTTTAATAAGCTATGGGAAAAATATAATTGTAATAAGAGAAAAATCTCAAGTTCAGAGCTATGCAATATATAATTAAGAGTTCTGTCACTTCCTGTCACCTAGAACTGTCTGCACATACAGTGCATGTATGACCACACCAGTATCACACGTCATTCAAATATCCTCTTTTTTTTCAGATGACTGTGCAATTTATTTTAGATACATATTATTTTCAAAAGGCATCAGCAGATACAACTGCTCTAAATTTGTATATTCTCTGCCTTCCTCTTATTCTAAATTGTTGGTTTCTATTAACTGGGAAATAGTGACATTGCTGAGTTGAACTTCAATTTCAATCAAGTTCATTTTCATCCTTCCCACTTTTTTCATACCTTCAATTCTCTGTACAGTATACTATTTTTGTTCCAGTTAAAATAGATTTGATCCAAATATTTCAATAATGTTGCTAAATAAAATGTTTAATTTATAAGTATTTTAAGTGCCTCTCATATATAAATCTGTTTTTTCCCAAATGATTGATGTTAGAACTCTCTTTACTGTAACACTATAAAAAGCTTTGGGAAAATCATAATATCTTGAGGCACTGCTCTATGACTTACATTTTTCTGCGCATGTAGAGTATATCTGTGAACCCCAATTAAAGAAGTAGCATCCCTGAATATGTAATTAATAACAACAATAAGTTTCCTTAACCGAACCATTTCTCAAAAAATTAACATACAGTACTGTACACTATTTACTAAATAAGAACTGTAAAAGCTAATAAACCTTAAACATATATGTAAATCACAATAATTGCATCTCAAAAATAATTCAGATATTTTTATAACAAAGAGTATACAGTGGTCCCTCGGTTTACGAACACAATTCGTTCCACAGAGTCGTTCGTTAACCGAAAATTTTGTTAACCGAATCCATTATTTCAATGGGATATTGGGTAATTGGTTCCAGCTCACAGAAAAGTACATACGTACAAAGTAAAGCCAAAAATGCATAGTCAGAAACTCTCCTAAAATTCCCCTAAATCAATATCAATATCAATATATATATATATATATATATATATATATATATATATATATATATATATATATATATATATATATATATATATATATATATATATATATATATACACACACACACATATATATATATATATATATATATATATATATATATATATATATATATATATATATATATATATATATATATATATATATATATATATATATATATATATATATATATATATATATATATATATATATAGTACACACACAGTATACCTCGCTTTAACAATAACGTTTGATATACGTGCCTTGCCAAAGCTGAACTTTCACTTAACGCGGATTTTTCCACAACAGCAGC